TTGCAGTGTGGCCCTCCCCCCTGGGGTTTGATTTCTTGCTTTCTGTCTCTCAGTCTCTCTCTCTCTCTCCAGCAAGTGAACACACCTTGTAGCAAAAATCTCTCTTACACGAAAAGGTTCATTCGGGTTCACAAGCTGTTGCCGACGCTGCACCCTGACCCCTGTCCCCCTGTCCCCCATCCCCGTCCCGTCCTGGGGAGCCCTTCCAGTGTCTGTGTCACTGCAGACACTCTGCTCCGCTTTCTTCTCAGAGACGTCTCTCGGGGGTGATCCCTTGCCTGAGCACAGAGAGCATTTTCACTGTTGGCTTTTTTACTTTGTTTTAATTGCCAGAGGACAAGTGTCCTCTCCCGAGACAGACAGAAAGACAGCAAGAGGGAGAGAGAGGAGAGCACAGCCGGGGTATAGGCAGGCCGCAGTCCCCGTCTCTGCTTCCTTTCAGGACTTCGGACACACACATGCACCCAGCACCGTTTTCCCCCCAGAACCATTGGCTTGTCAGACATGCTTGGCACAAGCGCATGCGTGTCCAAGATCCCAGGAGGAGAATGGAGGACCCAGGATTGCAGCATGGCATCCCCCTCGGGGGCTGACTTAGCACTTTCTCTCTCGCTGTCTCTGTCTCTCTCCATGTTCAGGGAGCACACAAGCCCTCTCACGAAAACCTCTGCGAAAATAAACACCTGACTTTAAGTCACCTATGTTTGTTTATTAATTTTCAATTAATAATTAATTTTATTCTATTTGTTGTTATTATTATTATTTTTTAATTTAACCAGAGAGAGACAGAAAGGAAAGGAAAGTGAGAAAGCCAACCGCCAGGTCCGGGACTCCAACTACCATCAGCCACGTTGGAATCCCACACCTTTAACTACCACAGCACCTGCCGGCCCCAACCTACGTGTATTTTTAAAGAGAATTCTTTAGTTTTATGTATTATTGTAATTCACCAGACAGAGACAGGCAGAGATAGGAGGAGAGAGAGCAAGCCGCCCACTCCGGGAGTCGTAACTGCAGCTGGCTAGTGGGAGAGCAGTGGTGATTTCCGGCGTGCTATGAAACCTTCGTTGTGGGAACCAGCAGTTAGCGTAATGGCTATGTCGCTGGACTCCCACATAGTCGACCGTGGTTCACGTCCCGGACCCGGTGGCTTAAAACTCACACCAGGCGCGTGTGCGTGCGTGCCCAAGATCCTGAGAGGAGAATGGAGGAGAAGGAATTGCGGCATGGCCATCCCCCCGGGGGATGATTTCTCGTTTTCTGTCTCTCTGTCTCTGTCTGTCTGGCAAGCGCACGCGCCCTGTAGAAAAAACCTCTGAAAAAACAAAACAAAAAAAAACAAAAAAAACCTTCGTTGTGAGTTTTTCCCGTAAGACTCATGAACGCTCAGTAGAAAGGGGGAGCCACGAGGTTGGCCTCTGGCCAGGAGCAAATGCGTGTGACAGGTGACGGCAGTCCTGCTTTGGAAGGTGGGATGGGGACCCCGCACCCCGGAGTCTGGTCTTGAAACCCTGGGACTGTTCGGCTGGCCTGGCCTCATACCGTCCAGCTGGGTTTCTTCGTGTCTTGCAACCATGGTGGGGCCACAGACAGACCACAGTTCTGTCCCTACCACGTAGACCACAGGTCCGTGGCCAGAAAGGGCCACTCCACGAGCCGGAGCCGGGAGCGCGGCGTCACAGGCAGAACCGCGTGTGCTCACGTGTCCCCATGTCGCCCCCAGGAACGCCAAGCAAGATGTGGATGACGAGTACGGCGTGTCGCAGGCCCTCGCCCGGGGCCTGCAGTCCTACTATGCCGTGGCCCACGCTGTCACCGAGCGCGTGGACAAGCAGTCGGCGCTCATGGTCAACGGCGTCCTGAAGCAGTACCAGGTGAGGCGGGAGGAGGCCGGGCCCCGTCCGCGCAGCAGCCCCGATGCAGGCGTGCTCAGACAGACCTGAGTTCTCACCGCGCTCTGCATCCTGGGGCAACCCCGCCCGCTCCTCTGTGCCTCCAATTCTCCGTCAAGCAGAGGCATGGAGGGTCAGGACAGGAACGGCCCTGCAGTACACGAGTACCCACAGGGAACGGAACGTGACAGGCAGCAGCGGAGCGCTCATGCACCCTGAGCCCCTGAGCCCCAGGGGCCCTGGAAGGTGGCCTGCACTCCAGTCTTACAGTCAGGGCAACTGAGCAACGGTGCAGCAGCCCTTCACGGTCGCACAGCTCGGAGGCCGGGCCAGGGCCAGAACCGTGGTCTCGGGCCTGTTACCTGGAGCTCTGTGCAGTGAGTGAAGACGAGTCAGGAGTGGGGAGAAGGTGGAGCAGCCCTCCTGCAGGTCCTCTGTGAGGGGGGCCTGGCCCGGAGCAGTCAGCACACTGCCCCACTTGTGGGGAAAATTCCTCTTCTCTCCCTTGTTCGAAGGCACCAGAACACACCCAGGGTCCCACCAAAGAGCGTGCCTCGCCTTGGTTGGCTAGGATTCCTGTTGCCCAGCTTCCTTGGAAAACACTCGCATGCCTTCCTCAGCGGGAGGAGCACCTTTCAGACGGCAGGGCCTGTGGGATGCCCAGCAGCCAGTGTCACGAAAGGAGCAGCACGTGGACAGATGACAGATTTTTAAAATTATTTCTTTATTATTATTTTAAATTTGACAATAGGGCACGTGCTTACCAGAGACAGAGAGAGAGAGGGAAGGTGATTAAGCAAGCTGCCAGGCCGACGCGAACTGTGGTCGGCCACGTGGGAGTCCGGGGCCCCAACCACCATGCAACCTCCTGGCCCCCAGATGACAGACACTGGCCTGCTTTTTTTTTTTAATAGGGTCGTGGGGAAGTTACGCATTTTTGTATAGAGGAAGGTGGAAAATTATGTAATGACTTTCCTGTCGACCTTATGATTTGGGAAGAAAGAGAGAAGGAAAGTGAGAAAGCAGGCTGCCGGGTCTGGGACTTGAACCGTGGTCAGCCCTGTGGGAGTCCAGCACCTCAACCGCCACACCTGCTCCTGGCCCCGGTTACCTTTCTCTTTCTCTCTCTTTTATCTCTCACACTCCGTGCTGACTAATGGAATAAGAAAACAATTTAAAATTTTCAATACGTGGGGCTGGCAGGGGCCGTGGTGGTTAAGGGTGTGGGACTCCCACACGGCCAACCGTTGTTCCAGTCCCGGACCCGGCGGCTTGCTTTCTCACTTTTTCTGTCTCTCTCTGGTCAAATTAAAACACATTTAGAGAAAAGTTCAATATAATAAATCTTTGTAGAAAATCACAATACAACAATAAGAAACCGGTGTGGTGTAACAGCTGTGTGGTAGTCCCGTCGTATCAGCTATTACAAGTGATCCCAGGAGGGTTTAACGTATACCCGTATACCCGACCCGTATACAGGAGCGCGTGTGCAGCGGACGCTAATATTAGGTGCCTTCAGAAAGGTCCGAGTGCATATTGCAAAGAAGCTTGCACGGCTTAAAATTTCTCACCGAGATAAACTCGCACTTCAGTTCCATTTTTCCACAAACTTTTTTTGTTTTTTTTTAAGGTTTTCTATAGGGTGTGTGTGCTTACCAGAAAGACAGAGAGAGACAGAGACAGAAAGTGAGAAATCAGCCCCCAGGGGGGATGGCCATGCCGCAGTCCCTTCTCCTCCATTCTCCTCTCGGGATCTTGGGCACGCATGCATGCCCGGCGTGAGTTTAAGTCACCAGGTCTGGGACTCGAACTGCAGTCGACTACGTGGGAGTCCAGCGACATAGCCATTGCACCACGTCCTGGTGCCTCTCAAATATTTCAAAACCCTCTTGTAGTCCATGTTACGTGAGCAACTCAAGCATCTCTGTACTGGTGACCACGGCGGCCCTTGAACCTGTTTCCTTTTTTTTTTTTTTTTTAAGAGAGATTTTTGCTATAGGGCTCGTGTGCACACCAGAGAGACAGAGACAGACGGAGAGGGAGAAATTCTCCTCCATTCGTCTCTCAGGATCTTGGGCACACACACACACATGCTCCGTGCATGAGTTTTAAATCAGTGGGTCCAAGACTCGAACTGTGGTCGACTCTGGGAATCCAGCCGCATAACCAGTACGCCATCTGCTGGTGCCGCTTGAACCAGTTTCTTAGGGAGGAAGAAGCAAGTTGGGAGATTTCATTGCACCACTCGGC